CATTTCAAAGCACAGCAATAATACATAATAGTCACCTTCTACAAGAGATACAGATCCTCAACGTGAGCACAGATTCTACAACGTGAGCCGCCAATCGTTCTCGTCGACTGAAGCCAACCAAGACGCTTTCAAGTCGCGCATACTCCGTGCAAATTCATATTTGTAAAATTTGAAAATTAGAAATTGTTGATATGCAACCAAGATTACCACGAAGTACTGCTAGGCGTATTACCAAATGTCAACAATACAAATGAAGAAAATTATCGTTCAAACTGCAACGAACCGAAAACAATTACTATAAGTGAGTAACATTAATAAAAAAACACGGCACAAATAAGCTAAAAACTACTTATCCTATAAATATAATCTAAACCCCTTTCTTATATAGTAACCTAACCTATAACCATTTTAGAAGAACGAAATTACATTGACAAGTCACACACACGAAATCAACTTAAAGAATCTACAAATCTACAGATCTGACCCAAATAAATCAACAGGCACTAAAAGGTAAAATACCCCCTAGACCTGCACAAACTAAACATAATTTAACAAGGAATAAACTAACCGAGTCTGCTCTTTTAGCTAAACACCAACCCAAAGTCGGTGACCAAAAGACACATAAAAATAAAGAAAACTAAATATAACAGTGACCAGAAGACACTTACAAGAAATACGAAACTAATAAACATACACATTCTACATGAACGATATATGCAATATACAGTATGAACGAATGTGTGAGCAATAAACAAAATAATTCCTCATGTGTGCCTAACTTATCTTTTCTATGCTAAAACATGTAGCGTTACTATTTGTAACGTTACAACTGCCAGCGTGCCAAAGTTTCAAGGCACACACATGCACCGCTAGGAAAATTTGACCTGCCCTCTTCCAGATTCGAGCACGTGCATATTGACATTATTGGCCCTCTTCCTCCTGCCGGCCCCTATCGATACTGTCTTACTGCGGTAGATAGGTACACCAGATGGCCCGAAGTCTATCCTCTTCAAACCATCACTGCCGAAGAAGTTGCGGAAGCTCTGGTAATGTGTTGGTTCTCCCGTTTTGGCTCTCCTGCACGCATCACTTCCGATCAAGGCCGCCAATTCGAATCTGCCCTGTTCCGAGCTCTCAATGTTGTTTTTGGCATCGAACGATCTCGCACCTGCAGTTACCATCCCAGCGCCAATGGCCTCGTTGAACGATTTCACCGTCAGCTCAAGGCAGCGCTCATGTGCCACCCCGGCGCATCTTGGCTTGAAGCTCTTCCAATAGTGTTGCTTGGACTCCGCAGTGCCTTTAAAGAAGACCTACACGCTTCTCCAGCTGAACTCGTCTACGGCCAGCCACTTAGTTTGCCTGGCGAATTTTTGGCTCGCCCCGTCGGACCCCAACGCCAAGAGGATGCTGCCAGCTATGTTGTACGCCTGCGACAGCGCATGTCTGAACTCCGCCCTGTACCCGCCTCTCATCATGCTACCCCTAAAGTTTTTGTCTTCCAGGACCTTTCAACATGTTCCCACGTTTTTATGCGTGATGACACCGTGCGAAGGTCCCTGCAGCTCCCATACAACGGTCCCTATAAAATCAAACGTAGAGATGCCAAGACCGTCACCATCCAATACAAAGGCTCCGACGTTCGTGTGAGTGTGGACCGAGTAAAGCCTGCCTTCCTCCTAGATGATGACGCTGCACCAAGTCTCAAACCCGCTCCAACTCCAGCTTCCATCGTTCGCCCTGCAACGACCCCAGCCCCAACTCCTGCCCTGCTGCCCGACACGGCCATGCGCCCTCCCTACGTGACACGATCCGGCCGCCGTGTTCGCTTTTGTCAGCCCTGACCTCCGGTCTCCGCGGGGGGCTCCTGTGGCGACCGTAACCAAGAGAGAATAATAAATAAAATAGTTTTGACAAGAACTGTAAAATATAATTTAATAAAATCAATTTATTACAAAGTAAATTTTATTGTGTTATTCGGTAAATCTACCGACCCACACACCTATGGAATGCAGCAATGCTTTCTGGAGAAAGCTATTTACAAGAGAAGGATCCAAACTATGTAATAAATCCAGAAGAATATGGAATTGACTGTTATGGACCTCTGACAACCATTGAAACCGACCGATATCATGTTGTAGTCCCGGAAAGTGAAATAAATTAAATTTAAATCATTAAAACTGGGAAGAAATCCGACGATTAGTTCCAGATCCCCTGTTGGACGATACAAACGACGGAATTCTTCTTTATTTGACTGTCAGAAATTATATGAGAAGAATATTGTTATAATAAAATTGAATAAATCACCTTTTAAGTAAACTCTTTTATTTAAAATACATACAATAATAAGCAACGTTCTTAAAATAAATAAAAAAAAAACAAAAATATAATTCTTGGTCACGAAAATAAACCAAAATACATTCAGGGACGGTTTTTCGAGTTGCACCAATCAGGCGCGGATGCAGAATTTTGGGAATACTGATATCGCAAGTATTAAACATGGGACCCACACCTAACTTACATGAGTTTATAATGACATTAAATAAACAAGTTTGGCGCAAGCAGAATTTAAATTGAAGTTAGTTTTTCAGTTAAACCCCAGCCCCTGCCCCCTAATGTAGATTATTCAAATTAAAGTAGTGCTATTTATTATTCACTTAAATTTATCGACAAATTTCAAAATTTAATACCATTTTAAATTTTTTTAAATTTTAAAACAATAAAAGGTTAAAATGGAATAAAATCTGTAATTCTTGTATTTTTTTTTTAAATTTGAAATTTGTCGATAAACTTTAGTGAATAATGAATTGCCCAACTTTAATTTAAATAATCTACATTAGGCAGGCAGAAAGCTGGGTGGGCACTCTGAAACACAAACTTTTTTTCGCAAACTTCAATTTAAATAAAACTAACTGGTAGAATAGCCGCGAGGTTTTGAGAAAAGTCGACAACAGACTAATATTTTGGGTATAAAGCACAAAAGGTAAGATATAAACTTTATTTAAATTATTTCAATTAACTAACTAAGATCCAACGATCAACGTTGTCAAGCTTTATCCTCTTTTAGAAGTTTAAAATAAATTCGTATTATTGAGGTTTGAACTCAGTTGTCCAAACATCGCTATTTAAATTGAGTAATATCAGCTATTTTGAATTTATAAGTTGAGACTCTTGTATGAAAGAGGGTAGAACTTGTATGATTAAGCCCTTTTATTAACCTTAACCGTATATCGTCGTTAATTTCACAAAGTGTCGTATCTCAATTCGTCGTTAAATTTACAAAAGTGTCGTATCTAAAAAAAATCCCATTGAGATGGATTGAGACAGAAAAACTGCGACCTTATATACCTACAAACTAAACCTCCGTCGTAAAATAAGTTAAAAAATTAGATACGACACTTAAATATGAAGGGGTGAATGCAAGAAGTGCCTAAGTCCCATTTTCAATTAAATTTACATTGTGGCTTCATCTAAGAGTGTTTCACGTAAGGTGGTATTTTCAAAGTGACAGAAATATGTGCCCAAGTACAGTTGTATTCAATAAAAAAGCGTACAAGAATTAGAATGAGAGAAAACTGTCAAAATAATATTATTGCTTAAAACCGGCTTATCACTGACATAAGTCATTAAAATAATTATTATAGGTTATAAAGAGCATTGACGTCGTAGGTTAATTAAATAATATTACAAAAATTATTACCTTTTAATAATGAAAAAACAAACATTAAAAAAAATTTAATATTTAGTCATGCATCCCTGTTTTTCTATTACTTGAGCCAATCTATTTGGGATTAACTGAATTAAATTTAATACAATATTTGGATTCATATCTTCCCAGCAGTATAGTAGGTATAGTATAGTTGTATAGTTTCCCATAAATCCTCAGATATCTCAAAAAAGCAGCATCCTGTTCGGGGGTGGACATTTTGGGACAACCTGAACCAAATTTTTGGTTTAGTAAATCTTCCTGTTCCCAGCGTTGCTTAATTTTTAATATAGATTTTTTATTTCTATTATACCACAGTACGAATTGACCATTCTTCTTCGATTCTTGATACTATTTGAGCCTTTTTAACTGACGAGGCATTTTTATTTTCTACTGTCAGTTATAGTGACTTAAGTCAGTGGAAAGCCGGTTTTACACAATAATGTTGACAGTTTTCTCTCATTCTAATTCTTGTACGCTTTTTTAATGAATACAACTGTACCTTAGTTTGCATTTACTTCAATGGGAGTTTGCCTGGTTTTCAACTTACCTGAAAACTCTTAGATAAAGCCCCTTCATATATAAATTAAACCTCCGCCTGAAAAATAATAAAAAATAAGATATGACACTTTGTAAAATTAACGACGATATGAAATATTGATGTCAGAATTTAATACAACATTATACATATTTGTATAACTTATAACTAACTTCTAGCCGGTGCCCCAACATCGATCCCGACTGGACAAAGAATTTATTATATATTATACAATGCATCATTATCATTTAAAATTGGCGGCACAACAATAATATAATAATAAATTGTACCTGTATACATGTTAAGGGCACGTTAGTTACGTAATAAAACCAAACCAACCCAAACTCAACAACACAACCCAACCGACCCCGCCCCATTGGCCCCCCCCCCGCCCCATTGAGCAAAAAACCCAACTAAAATGGGCAAATTTATGTTACGATAAAAATAAAACACTTTTTAACAAAGGAACAACAAATTTATGAAATAAAAAAGTAAAAAAATATCGACAACTTATGAGTATCGAACCCGGGACCTCTCAAATCAAATCAAATCAAAAATAGTTTATTTTCATTGTCAGTACAATTAAATTGGGCATAGATGCCTTGCTGCCAAAAGTATTTTACATTTCATTTTATTACGACGAGGAAAAAATGGAGTGTAGAGTAGGCCGGTGGTGCAGTCCTGGCGTCGCGACATCAGGGGCAGTCATCAACCGCGTCGATGTTGTGACGAACGTCAGCATCCAACCCAATCAGTCTATTTAGCGAGATGGCTCAACTTTCTCACCAAGGTGATTTTGAAGGTGTTGTCGTGTGGGGATTTTGTAAATGTTTGCAGGCTCTATCGACTGTGACTATGGATTTTTAGACTATTGGTTAAAGAATTACAGGAAAAAGTATCGGAAAAAACCTGTTTAAAGATAGGTAAAAAAGCTGTTTGTTATTATTGACCCTGTATGGTAGGTCAGTTTATTTAATTGACCGTGAGAGGTATAAGCAGGAGGGGTGGCAGGCGCGAGCCGTCACTCAGCACCACGGAGGCTGGCGTCGTATGTACGTTAACCCCGCCCGCCCCGAATACGGCACATGAGTAGCGTCTCACGCCTACCACGCTCCCTTTTGTATGATATTGTTGGTTTGGTTGTTTATCATAAATGGAGTGATGTATTAAGGCAGACATATATGGCTGTGCTAAATTTAGAAATGCTAACAATGCCAAGATATTAAATCTGTACTGAATATGGTCCAGAATCCACGCCAACAAGACGGACGTCGTTTGTACGATGTATTCGTCCGCCCAGTGTACGCGTAGGACCCAGACCGCACCCAGTGTGCATTGAGAATGATTATTTATTTATTTTTGCAAATTGTGTTTGTGTTATTTATTTATTTACCTGTTTTCATTATATATTTCAAGGTTCCTATATATTAGACCGTGTTTAATATTGGCGTTATCATGTCGTCTAATATCGGTTATGTTATTTAATAATGGGTTAGTTTTTAATTTATGTCGGTAAAAATTGTCACTTTGTTGAAATACGTACTCTTTTAATCTAGGCATTTCAGCCATCTCGTGTAGTAAATCTATGGGTGTGTATCTGCCCATAGAAGTTACATGTCGGAGTAAGTTATTTTGTATTCTCTGAATTTTGGTGTAGTTAGTCTCCGACATAGAGCACCACACGGGATGGCCGTATGTGATTATTGGCCTAAGGGCACTTTTATAGAGTGTGGACTTATTTTCAAGGCTGAGAACACTGTTTTTATTTATAAGTGGGTAAATATGCTTAAGTGCCGTGAAGACTCTGGGTTTCATGTTGTTGACATGGTTGGTGAAAGTGAGTTTGTTGTCTAGAATAATACCCAGATACTTCACGGCTTTTTTTTCCTGTAAGGTGATTCCGTCTATGACAGGTGGTGTGATAATTCGACTGTTTTTGAATTTTTTTGTAAAGTGAATGAGCTCGGTTTTAGTGTTATTTATTTTGATGAGCCATTTATCATAGTATTTCGTAAGCATTCTTAGATGAATTTTTAATTGTGCCACTGCCACTTGTGAATAAAAGGAATGAGCGTACACCACGGTATCGTCCGCGTATAGGCCCAATTTTGTTTTTGTGAACGTTGGGACGTCTGCCGTATACAAGGTGTAAAGCTTGGGGGCAAGTACAGAGCCCTGGGGCACTCCAGCCCCAATGTTGTATACGGCAGAGTTTGATGTCCCGACTGTGGTGATAAATTTCCTGTCACTCAGATACGATGCCAAAAGGTTCAATAATGGTGTTGGGATTTTGAATTCATGGAGCTTGAACATGAGACCCGCCAGCCAAACCTTATCAAAGGCCTTCTCGATGTCCAGCAGAACCATGGCCGTATTCTGGCCACGGTTGTTGGCCTGCTGAACATCGTGAACGACCCTTATGGCTTGGTGAACAGTCCCATGTTTTGGTCTAAATCCAAATTGTTCATTTGGAGTAATTTTATTTTTATTATCCCATTTATTTATGTGTTCAAGAATGACTTTTTCGACCACTTTTGACATCGCACTGAGTAGACTGATGGGCCTATAACTTGCGGGTTGCGTGGAATTTTTTCCAGCTTTTGGAATTGGGATAATGTTAGATTTTTTCCAGGTATGTGGGAAATATTGAAATCTAAGTATTTGGTTTATGACATAATGAAACTGCACCAAGGTTTTCTGGGGAATATTCTTTAACAATATGTTTTCAATGTTATCTATACCGGGTGCTTTGTTATTCGGCAGTAATTTGATAATTGCTTTTAATTTATCTGGAGATATTAAATATTTTTTAAAAGTTTGGGGATCTAATGGTTCAGGTTGCAATTTCATTATGTCATTACCTGTCGTGTTTATGTTGTCCTGTTCAGCAGTTAAATTATTTGTGTTTATGGTGTGTACGTTCTCAAAATGAGTGGCAAAGGCAGTGGCTTTTTCACTGTCAGTGATATATTGGGTGTTGTTTACGCATAGTGTTGGGATGTTATTTTTTGATTTTTTTAGTTTCTTTAGCAATGTCCAAAGGCTGTTATCACGGGGGGTGAGTTTAGCCAATGTGTCCGTCCACACCTTGTTCTTATGTTCCCTGATCTCACTTCTAATTTCGTTTTTAAGTCTGTTGTAATTTGTCTTATCATTTTGGTCATTATATAAATTGAATTTCTTTTTTAATTTATTTTTCATTTTAATTTTGTCTATTATTTCATCTGGTAAATTGTCATGAGGCGGCTTGATTTTTTTTGCGACGGTGGTTTTGTTTTTGGCATAAATTAAATTATTAGTCAATTTAGTAATTTCATTATCTATATCTTTGGTGGAATTGATGTTATTGTTTATTATAGTTAGAGAAGTAAGTATTTGTCTGAACTTCTTCCAGTCTGTATGTTTGTAGTTAATAAAGGTTTTATTTTTTGGTTTTGGAGTTTTTAGAGCCAATTCGATACAGACTGGAAGATGATCCGAGTCAAGTTCGTGTAATACAAATGCGTTATTCAGTGTTTTGATGTCCAATTTAATTATTAAATCTATAGTGCTGGGAGTGGTACCGTTGTAGGGGTAGTGGGTGGGTTCCGGGGGGTAATCCAGACAACACCTATTGCTCAGGACAAAGTCATAAAGCTTGGAGCCGTTGGTATTGTCTCGATTACATCCCCAGGCGGTGTTGCGAGCATTGAAATCTCCCAGCACTATGTATTTATTATATGTTGTTAGTTCGTCTAGGTCATTTGTAGAGAAGTTATATTTTGGGGGATTATAGACACTCACAACGTGGACGTCGTTAATTTTTATTATTATGTGTTCAATATTGGAGTTAGTTTGTGGAAGCCTGGTGTGAGCAATGTGGTCCTTGACCAGGACAGCGACTCCACCACCGCGGTGATTCGCAATCCTGTCCTGTCTGTGGACCACGTAATTTTTGATTTTGAATTTATCGTTATTGGCCAGTTTGGTTTCATTGATACAGAGGACGTCCACCTTGTGAGTGTGTAAAAAGTGAATTATGGAATATATTTTATTTTTAACATTGTTAGCATTCCATGTACAAATTTTAATTGAGTTATTAAACTTGTTAGCAAGCTCTTTATATGTCATACCTTTCAATACCATATATAGTAAATTCGAGGAATTTTTCAAATCTTTCATGTTTGTTTCTAGCGTTTTTTAGGAGTTGAGCCAGGTCGCGTAGAGCCTGCAGCATTTGTCCAAGGTTCATTTGGTCCCTAAGTTGAGCCATCTCTGAAAAATAGCTAGTATTAGTAGTAGAATTGTTTGGTATTGGACGCATAACTTTATCTGTTGCGGTTGATGCCTGCGGTTTCTGGGACTGGTTGGCAGGTTGAGTTGATGCGGCTCTGGTTTCCCATATGTTCTCTGCTGGCGGCTCCGCTGGGACGTATTTCTTCTTGTTTGTTGGATTGGATTTTTTATCGATTTGAGTTATTCTGTATAGATATACAGGGCACTCCTGATGATTAGACGGGTGGTCCGCTCCACAATTAGCGCAGGTTGCGGGGGTGTCCTTGCTTTTAGGACAAGAGTGTGTTGGGTGCTCTTCAGCACATTTAAGGCACTTGTAGGGGTTGAAACAATTTGTTGTTGCGTGTCCCCATGATTGACAGCGATGGCATTGCTGGATTCTTCTGTCGTTTGTCCTTTTTTCCCAGTATATACGAGTGTGCTCAAGATATCTGGCTGTTTGATTTAGGAAGGCGAGAGTTATGTTTGGTGTTGTTGTAATCATATATAATGGTCTATATGTACTTTTAAGTTTGTAGATATTATTTACAATAATGTCGTGTTCGGTGAATAGGGCTTTTTTAATGTCGTCTAGAGTAATTTCGGCGTCCAAGCCTCTCATTATAAAGGCATGGGTTTTGTTTTCCTCTTTGGTGTAGGTGTGAAAATATACATTATTTTCCTTCAAGTTGTGTAAGTATTTATCGTATTCTCTGTCTGATTTAATGTTCAATATTATGTTATTTTTTGTGTGTTTTATAGTAAAATCTGAAACTTGTTGCTTTTTGAGATTCTCTACAATTTCGCTGTGTTTGAAGATGGTTTTTCCTGCTAAAACTATTGGTGGAGGATCTTTTTTATTTGGTTGTTTGTTATTTTTGTTTTGGACCTTAGTCCGTGTACTATTTGTATTTTCAGTATTATTCTGTGTGTGGTTTGTTTTTGTTGTACTTGTTTTAGGTGGAAGTTTGGAAGGTCCTGCTTGTTCTACGGGATCATTATTGTCCTTGATTACCTCGTCTATGTTTTTGTTTAGCAAATCGAATTTATTTGATGTTTTTGTTTCGGGTTCTTTGCATTTTCTCTTAATAATTGTAGCTATTGGTATGAAGTTTTTTGTTTTAGTGAATTTAAACTTCTTTTTTTGTTGGTTATCTTCTTCAGTCTCTTCTTCATCCTTGCTGATACTTTCTTCATCAGTTTCCAAAGTGTTTGTTTTTTGGGTGTTTTTGACTTCCCCTGTTTTTTGATTATTTATTATTTTTTGGTTTTTAGAACTTTCGGCTGGTAAGTTGTTTGGATTATTGTTTGCTGGAATTTTTGAATCATCATTGACTTGACTAGCAAGTAGTGGAGTGGATTTCGTGCTTGATTTTAGTCCCAAGTTTGAATTGGTAGAAGTTGGCTGAGAAAAGGTCACAGTGGCAACAGTGGTGGTGTAAGTTGCCATTGTGGGCGGTGCAGTGGGCTGGAATTGCGGAGTAAAGTGAGTGGCAGTGTTGCCGTCTTGTTGGAAATTTCCCAGATTTTGCAGATTACCATATAAGGTGATGTTTTCTTGTAATGGTGACTTAAGATGGCCGAGTACGGTTCCATCTTGAGATGTAGGAGGTACTTGATTTGGCTTACCATATATGGGCTGTATTTGTTGCTTAGGCGTGTCAAGATGTCTGGTTTGGTTTCCATCATTTTCATTACCATATATGGAGGTTTCGGCGTCCATATCTTCTACATTATCAGTAGGCGTGCGTTCGTAATCGCTCTTCCAATCAGGAATGAGATTTACATTTGAAATTAAATTAATCTTTTGATTGGTTGGATTATTTTCATTTTTGTTATACAGGGTGTCTGTTTTTAGTGTATTCTTCACCTCTTCGGTTTTATTCATACCTGTTAATAGATTTTCTGAATTTTGGAATTTTGGTTGTTGTTTGAGTGTCTGGGTGCTGTTTGGAGCCCTAGGTGAAGGTGTTGGAGTCCTAGCTGGTGGTGTTGGCGTTTTACTAGGTGTATGGGCCCCCTTGTCTCTCGGGGATACTTCACGTGGAGAAATGAGGTTATAATTTACCGACTGAGTGTCGCTTCCTGGTTGTTTGACATTTGGTGATGTACGAGGGGTTTTTCGAACTAGACTTAGCTTTACTGCCCTTTCGTATAGTTCTGGTTTGGCGAAATCGTCCACATCCACTTTAGAAGTTGTTCTACCCCTTGCTTTGCCACTTGTTTTGGTTTTTACGGTTTTCTTGGTAGCGCCAGGTCCAGGCTTGTCATTCGGCTTGATTGGGCCTATTTTGTCCAAAAACGGCACTCTCGGAGCGTCCGTTCACAAAACTTTCACACACATATCACAAACTACATGTTAATAAACTACTAATACACTTTTTACTAATTAAAACTAATTAAAACTACTTAAAACTACTTAAAACTATAATAAATCTTTGCGTAAATATAGAACACGTCTATTCAGATTTTACGAGGGCTAACGTCTTATACTTATGAGTATCGAACCCGGGACCTCTCGCATGCAAAGCAAACGCCCTACCACCTAAGCTATCTAGCTTGACAACAAATATTATATGTTCGGGGAACAAAACCGGATTATTATTATGACGTCACGTTATAAGGCGATTCGTGCCAGCACGTGAGAAGTCGGGATCGATGTTGGGTCACCGACTAGAAGTTACTTAACTTATATAATTTCAGATTAAGTATTTCAGATTATATTTTGTAGATACTAGTTGATAATGCTACTAATGTGATTTACTACTGCCCATTATAATACTAGTATAATAATATTGTTATTTATTATTTGCTTATTATTACCATTATTAATGTTACTTTTCCGACTAGACTAGACGATCACACCGTTTTGGCCACACTTGACAACATTGCGAAGTTGTTAGGTTAAGTTTAAATTCGCGAGATTCTTAAAATCTCTCTGGGTTACTACTTTTTGCTCAACTGTAGGGTATTATCCACTCGTTCCCACCACAGATTGGTGCCGATGAGGATAGGATAGGTTTAGGTTATCTAAGAGGAGAAGTTATGATTGTTTTGAAAGTTACTCTCTTAAAATTAAATAGTCAAAAATCTACTATTTGAATTAGTACCAGCATAGTAGGTACTTTACTAATAAAATAGTCGTTTTCACTTTTAAATAGTTATTTTTTACTACGTAAATAGTTTGACGAATTTAAGATTAGTCACCATTGACTATTTCTGACAGTTAAAAGTAACTAATTTCTTTAATCGTTTACGGCCAACAACAAAGTAATATTTGAATTAAATGCATATGGGCTCCATGGTTAAATGGCCCATAAAAACAAACAAAGATGCAAAAAGTTTAGCTCAAAACAGCAATATATTCAACTTTAAAATATTATGAACAATATTTATTGACAAATAAAATTGATTTTTATAAGAGCGACTGTGTCAAAACTTTTTTAAATATATTTTTTTTTTAATTTGACTATTTCATTGAGTAGAGCTGGACTAATTATTAGTGACTGCTTTTTCGCTATGACAATTAGTCAAATATGACTTATAATTAGTTATTTTTAACTACCTCATTTTAAGAGAGTATATTCTTATTTGTCTAACAATCACACGACTGCTGGACATTTGCCCGATAGTTTGCCTCCTACCAACCTTACACCTGATAGTGACACGTCTACCAGTTACTCGCCTGCTGGACATATTCCTGGAGTATACTATACATGCCTGCCAGTCACACTCCTACAGGACTTGTGACTACTGGATCCATGGATACATCCAAAACCTTTACTTTGCTGGTATTTCTACTTAGGGCCATCAACCTGTTGAGCTCTCGAATGCGGGCTCTCTCTTGCATAACATCATTCTGGGGAAGATACTCCTGTTTAACGCACACCAGTGGTACAATATTCTGCTATACCCCCTCGTCGAGATCGATATCTGCTGGACCTACCTAGTCTGCTTACTACACCATTTCGGACAGACTACTCCCAATGTACCTGTCAGTTATGCTTACCAGAACTTTTCGGATGAACACGCTTTGACAAAAAGCCCTTTAGCTATTTTTCCGGATGTATTCGTTTCGGATGAAAGGGAACAAATACAAATATTAAGTTTGAAGATGGTTCAAATGGAGAAGACCATGACTAAGCAAACTAGCCTTCTTCAGAATCTGTGCAGCCAAAAGAAACAAATTCCAAGTCACGTCTTTTTTTGTGTGAATGCGAATGCACTAAAAATTATATTTTTAATGTGAATGTTTCAAACAAGAAATAAAACATAATACTTTTAAAAATTAATGTATAAAACATGAAATTTAAAAATTTGAATTTGAAAATGAATGTTTGAAACAAGAAACTTTTGTACAAAAGTCTAAGGCCATACAAATAAATATCGTATTTTAAATTTTAAACCATTACAAACCATTTTAGATAAAACAATAATTTTGGATAAAACATCAACATACATTTCCAAAATTCAAGTTAATCAATAAACCAATTATTTTAAACCATATTTAACAAAATTGTTTGTATAATTTTGCCGGTTATACCGAACTCCATTCAAATAATTTAACGTGTGATTCCAAAATAAAAAAAAAAATTAGGATGGCACGTAACTTTATAACGCAGAAAAAATATTTTTAAAGCAATTTAAAAAAAAACCGCTTTGTTTTAAACCAAAGAACCTTTTTGTGTAAAATTAAATGTTAAATTCATTATATTAAATCCATATACCCAATCAAATACATAAAAATATAATGGTGGGCGCTGCTACATAATCCACCTGTTTGAGTTGATAGTATGTCAATGTGAGGTCTACAACAGAAAAGTTTAATTTGTTAAGTGTGCCAAAATCTATTATTCTAAGTTTAAGCACATCTGAGATAAAATAAATTGTAAATGTTAAATGCTATATTCAAAGAGGCGTAGCTCCCTTATAAATATGGCATTTTTGACCCTATGTTCTTAGAAACTTTTTTTCATATTTTTCTATATACGAGAATCACCCGATAAATAATCCAAATGAAGCACTGTGGACCAAAAATTTCCTAAACATTGAAAATGTCAATTTTTAATAATGATGGAGGACTAAGTTTTCTTATGCTAAAAACGGTCAAGTATGGCACTAAGCTTACAAAAACACCAAAAATTTGTCTGTGAGTTTTTATGTTGACACACGCGGGTTTGACAAATGTCGGTAAATTTAATTCTTATTGTCTGGTTTATTTTGTTTAAACAAATCGGTTAAGTATAAGTTTCGGTAAAATCTCATGTTCCATCTTCAGGTCTTATCTGCTGGGCTGCTGTTGCTGCTCTTCTGCTCTGCTGCGAGTTAGACGTGTATTTTATGTTCGATAAAAGGTTTTTTTATCATCACAATATCGATAAAGTTCCAACGTAAAATTGCAATTTTATTCGTATAATCACATGCCATAATTGGCATAATTGGCGCTGATTAAAATTTTTAAGCTCAACAAAATATAATTTAAAAACCATTTTAATTTTATGTTTTCTATCATGATGATAGCGATAAAGTGTCAACGTAAAATCGCTGTTTTATTGGTATTATTAAATGCCAATATTGGCATAACGGCTGTTATGTGTTATGTTCGCCAAACGTAAGATATAATCATGAATAATATTTGCGGGGTAGGATATTTAAACAGCCAATAAATGTTTATCAGTTCACTTAAAAGTTTTATTTATTCTCGGTGTTCCCGCTCTTGGAGATAACCCCATAGTACCATAATATTATGTTGTACCATAATATGAGTCGCAACCCAATGGTGGGTTGCGAGCGGATATTAGGTGGGCCCTGAAATAAAATTATGGCTTTCAGTTGCTGACACCTATTCCTGCATGTTAGATAAAATATAGTCTGGGAGCTCCATTTTGTAAGAGGTGGTTTCATTTTTTTAAAACAAAATATGGCATGTTTTTTAAGCGTTTTTTAGAAGAGGTATGGTCCGATTTTTTATCCATGTGGTTTAGTTTTTAAATAAATTTATTTAAATGATAGGCCGCATTACTCAAAAAGGATTTAAAGTAAGCTTTTCGATTGCTATAATTATGATTTTATTTTATTTTCTTCAAATGCCCATTCTTGCGACATTTTTTTTACTTTACTGGCTGATAATATATTACTGGTTTATTATTATTTTATTTTAAAAATCGTGAGTATTTTAAATTTTTTGTTTTGATCTTTGTCCCATGTTAGGTATAGAACCTAACATGAGACAACAATAAAAATCCTATTTGAAGTTATATCAAAGATTAAATATACTATATACTATACTATAAAAGTATACTTAATCTTTGATTATATATAAAAAGCATGTTAGGAGACTGTAGCGTTAAATGGGTCACGCTGGATATTAAAATATAATAAAAATTAAAGCTTGACAAAGATTTTATAACTAAAAATAAATTAATTTGATCAAAACCGTTTATTTTAATGTAAAACAAAAACAAAACCTTTAGTTAACGGCAATAAAAATAAATCAAAACATTTTCGCTGCAAGGCACGCTGGATATTAAAATATAATAAAAATCAAAGATTGACAAAGATTTTTTAACTAAAAATTCATTGATTTGATCAAAACCGTTTTTTTTAATGTAAAAGAAAAACAAAACCTTTAGTTAACGGCAATAAAAATAAATCAAAACATTTTCGCTGCAAGACATTCAAGTTTTTGTTTTTATTGGAAAACTTTAACGGTAAAAAAAACTGTACTCTCTAAAATTAAATTAGTCAAAAATTACTAGTTTTCTTAGTAAAATAGCAGCCACTTATTACTGTAGTCCACAGCAATTTGTATCCCGGACATTTATTAGTCAATTTTTATATGAAATTGTTCCCTAAATCCGAAAATACCATCTAAAATTGTTAAAGTAGAGCACTTTTTGAGATATAGTCAATCAAAGATTATAAGGAAAATTGACTATATCTCAAAAACTGTTCTATTTTTTTAATTTTTGACGACATCATCGGATTCAGCGGACAATCACATCACATTTTTGACTAATTTATTTTAAGAGAGTAGTATAGATAAATTGTTTTATATAGAAGGTTAACTTACACTCTTACATGTTTTTTATTAAAAATAAATAAAAAGTTTACAATTTTAAATTGGGAGTTATTAAAATGTCTGAATTTTATAATAACAAAACATGTCTATGTTAGCGAAGCATTGCTTGATTTATTAATAAAAGTAAATTGTTGTTCAATAAAAATATATGAAATAGACATACGAAATGTATAAATTCTTTTTTGTTTTTTTGTCAAAGAACATTCTTTTGTTTGCACAAGCAACCTTGATATGTTATTTCATTATATCGAGACTCAAAAGATTTCGAGCAACAAAAAACAGGTATTCACACAAAGCCAGTCAAGTTAAAACCAATCAATCTTTGGAATTGGGAGATATGCTCAGTCCTTTGACACATCTTACCTATTATCCACGCTTCAAGTGATCGTAATAGATGAGTGGTCTAATTAAAATTTATTAGCAAATAATCATTGAACTGAAGATTTTAAAGGCTTAAATAGTGACTGATTCGTATGCAATTTAATTGGGCAATTAAAACAGCACCGAATTATAAACTAAAAAACTCGAAGTTGTGCAGTAAGCAATTCAATTATTTAAGGGGCTTATACAACAGATCTAATTTCAGTCTAAATCCATATCGTCATTTCAAAATTAATTGATTTAGCAATTTATTTTAATACACTTTATTTATATAGACTCTTTGCCACTGCATTCAATCAATATATCACTGTATTTAATCAATATATCACTGTATTCAATCAATATACATATAGGGTGTCCCAAAAGTCGTGCACCACCTTAAGGTTATCTATAGATAATATACAGTCCCCTAAAAATGCTTGTTAAACAAACACTACTTACATTATTTCAATATGAGAAAAACATAAAAAAATTACGTCAAAGCGTGTATACCCTGTGCCAAAAGGAAAACTAACACTTCTACAAAAATTTAATATACCGTCTAGGATAGCTTTGGATGTAGTGGGGCCATTACTTGTAACGGAATATTATAATATATACCTACATACTAACTATTCAAGATGCATTTACGAAATATGGAGAAGCTTTTTTAATTATTATTATTATTATTTACGGGAATTGAGTTATGTTTTTAAAACAGCCACACAACTTGTTTTTAGAATGAATCAACATTTACCTACATTAAAAATAAAGTCAACGAGGTATAAGAGGAGAAAAATTATTGACGAAAAGAGATTCAAACTATCTATAGTGATTCACGTCGGTTTTGCCGAAAGTCATTATATAGGACGAAACTCAAGGACACAACTGGAAAAATGATCAGGTCACGCTTGCATGTATCCAAAATCGTCAATCTCTAACAAACATTTTTAATGAGGGCGCTAGTTATTAAAAAAAATATTTTAGTTCGAAGAAAAATAATATTTTATTATTGTATTAAAATAAAATAATATTTATAATATATTATGAAACTAAATTGGATAATAAATAAGCATTCTATTATTAATAAGCTTAATGAACATGATTCGTTCGGTTTACAGGCCACATAAGTTTTTAAAGTAAAATTGGTTTAATTATTGAACATTTCAAATTTTTAGAAGAAGTATTCGATATTAAATTGCCATTTCAAAGTTACGGAGAAGACAAGTGGATACTTACAATGGTGATATTTTTATAGAAATAAATAATAAATTATGTCTTTTTAGTTTTATATAAAGTATTTTTTTATGAAACTAGATGCCAAAGATTTGTATGAATTCTGAAAAATATATGAAAACAGCAGAAATTCTTAAGAAGCGATTTGATTCTGCAAAATCAATTCCTGGGAC